GATTAAAAATCAAAATTGAAGGTGGTGAAGAAGGCAATATTATAAAATATAAACAAAACCTGTCGAAGACCGATTGCGTTAAACACGAACCTTCGTTGTTAGATGATACTTTGGCGGCATTATTAGCTGTGTCTTCGTCTTCCTCGCATATTTCATTATCATCCCCAGCAGACGCCATTTTAGGCTAATTTAACCGTGGCAAGTTCAAATCCAGTCGGACGAAAACAGCGCTCTGTTGATGATCTATTACTCAGTGTTTACCGATCAAGCAGCGAAAACCCCGGAGATTGTCCTGACGTGTCCCATTCAAGTAGCAGTTTCCATAAGTATTTCTGGCAATTTTGCACGCAATAACTTTCTATTGTTAAATACAAAAAATAACAGAAGATTGAAAGTCAATTCGCACCACCACTTACAAAACAAATTAATTCGCCATTACAATAAAAGCTACCCACAGTGCACCACCACGGGAATGAGAGACCGATATACTGTATATACTGTCCACTGTCCACTTGGCGCCAATTTCATGTCCACCCACTCATGTACCCACTCATCTGTTGTCCACCAATCGCTGCCGCTTGTACAGTAAAGCCATTATCATTTCTTTTTTCATTTACCTCATCAGAGCGTAAGGTAAAGCAGAAACACAAATATTGGGGAGGGGGGGAATATCGCCTAAAAGATTATAGCAGAAAATCAGAACGAAACGATTAACCTTTGACTTCCACTCGTAGAAACAGCAGACCATAGATCAGTGGGTTCGTTGTTCTTGTTTTTATAGCGGTTTTATTTGAAGAACTTGGGTGCGCGCATAAGCGACGGGATATTGGCCCTGCTTTCATGCCAAATCAGAAAAAACCAGGAGCCCATTAATCGGCTCCTGAAAAAACTCCAAGTTGTCATCCCTCACTAGTTTTCACGAAATCGGTATATATACTTAAAAAACATTAAATTTTTTAGATCAACTTTTTAGATTCAGTAACAACCATTTTCTATTTTGAGCAAGGGGGTTCCGGTCCTACTTTCATTTCTGCAGTTTACTCTCAAGACCAGTAGAACAATGTACAATAGGCCTTGGGATCTAGAGGGGGGTGGGGGGGCACTTGTCTTAAGGAATCTCTCACTATTGGTTCCTGCCCACTATAGTTTTTGCTTGTTTACTTTGATTTTTTGTTTAGTTTTGGATTTTACAGTTAGGTACCCTGACCGAGCCACCTAGAACGCCGACTGTGAAAATGGCCTTCGGTTTTGGATGTGGTGGTTTCCCCTTTCCTCTGGCGGTCAATAAATCTCCCCGCGGTTTTTGTTTTTTATCACGCGCGCTCGACGGACTTTGAAAAGAAAATAGAGGGTCTGTGAACAAGCTACAGTCTGAGAGGCTATATACTCTAAAATGACTCATCCAGAGAGGATCAAATGAAATATGTCATCGAACTTGATGCCATGACACATAGACTACGAGCAGTCTCTCTTTTTTCTGTAGTCCGTCGAGAAAAACGCGAGACACGCAAGTGGCCACGCGCGTAACTGATGACGGCGGGCTGCCGCCCTCGTTTAGCGCGTCTCGCGGCTTCGCCGCTCCCGCGCGCGTGCATTGCTCTCACTAGATCTGAAGAAAAAGAGAGACTGCTCGCAGTCTACATGACACAAAACTAATTCATAAAGAGCAAAAGTGGTGCGCGTTTATCGCTTTTTCAAGGCAGCGCCGCTTTTTATCAACCGCTAGGCTAGGCTCAATTACTTTTTTCTCTGGTTGTCTCTGTCGACTGGCAGCTGGCTTTTCAGGAGATGATAAACAAATCAGAAAAGCTGATTGGTCACATAGTAATTCAGACTTTGCCGCAAGATTACCCGCTGTCTCGGACAGAACTTCAGCAGAGCGATGACACATCCCATTGTCTCGACATTCACTTAATAACTGATGATAAAAATATCGTTAATTTCTCGGCAGCCAGACAGTTAAACTCATATACCCACTGATTTGCAATATACCCCCCCCGCCCCCCCCCCCCCCCCTAACCCCTAGCCCCACACACATCAATCCCCAGTCCGACAAGAAAGCTCGACGCCTTGCTCAGCTCAGGTGAGTCTCGTTGACGTCACATCCAAATCGCCGAGGACGACCGTGAACGAGGCTGGAATAAAACTAGGTCTATCGCATCGTGATCGCGTACAACTTCGCTGGACGCAAATTTGAACTCCATCAAGACTGCGACTTTCCACAAAGAAATCGAAACCGCCAAAGAAGCACGCGTGGGGTAGCGGATGAAAATGATTATCCATTTATTTAATTCTATTAAAACAGCATAATCTCTTTTAATTCCTTCCCTACAACTCAAGCAACTCAGCTGCTGTTAAACTACTCTAAGACTCTTCTTTTTCAAGAAGTTGCGGAAACAATTAGCCATAGGGAGTTGATAAAGTATCCGCGGATCACTTCACCGAGTCCACCACAACTCGGTAGCGGTGGTACTTTAGCTTTTCACTAACAAAAAGAGCAAAAATGCTTTTAAAAGGTACCGAAATCCGTTTAGTTAATTTTATTATTTGAATTCCGGGCGTTTTACCTCAGCCAATCAACTTACATCATTAAGTGAGCAGGTATATATAAATTGTGCTTCAGTTTGAACCGGCGAACAGCATAGCCTCGGGCTAGGCACGCGACATTACAAATTACGTTTTGTATTAAACTGCTCTTTTTAATTTTGATAACAAAGAAAAAATAAGCTAAATCGTCAACCTTAACAATTTAGGCTTTTTAAGCTGAGGATTGAAGGAGTCATAAAATCTAAAACTGCTGAAATCATATTTTGACTGATTGATTCCTTGTGAGGGACTAGAGCAAAAATGGGATTTAGAAATAGAGCAATCATGACTGATTCAGTATAAGCTCCCCTGACTGAGTCAGGAGTGTTATCCTGACTGAGTTTAGTCGATTTATGAGATGAAAGCTTTCCAGTTAATTATTGCTTATTTTGTTCGTCCCTGTGTGAGTTTGTGCGGATTTTAAGAGGGCCACCGGTTCGATTAACTTGAAGCTACAGTGCATAAAAATTGAGAATCCTTTAAAAGAATCTTGTTCCATATGTGTTGTGTTTTTTTTAAATGATTTATTGACCACACAAAATATACAGGAGATAATAAAATAAAATAAAATTACTAATTTATAATTTATTGTTTTTGGAGTTTCTAGCCTGCCAAACTGAAAAAAAAAAACATCTAGCATCGTCCATATGTACTTCAGTTATATTTTTAGCCTTACTGCTGATTAATTTATATATAACTATATTACGTTTTACAGCTTTCTATTTTTATTTTTAACTTTTTTGAATTAAGCTTATATTACTTATTTTCTACTGCCTCTACTATAACGAGCTTCGAAAGATAACAGTTATATTTCCGATGGTTATTGAAAATGAGTGCCGCGAGAAACCTGCAGAACAGATTGAAAAATTCGCTCGAGGCCGTTTCCGCGTTGCTTCGTTTTCAGTCTGTTGAACTCAAAATTATCGCCCCCCTCAAGCTACAAGGAGAGGAGATCGAAATTAAAGCAGATTTATTTGTCGGTCTCTTGCATTGCTGGGAATTTTTGACTGCCCCTTGGGCACATTTCCTTTTTTTATAGCTTCTCAATTCGGTATAAATCTCGTTACACGAACGACCGAAAGTCCTATTTTCAGCTAATCAGTCTCAGAAATTCCATCTCCCTTTTTCCGGCTGCCTTAATATAAACGAGTTACTGTTGTTCTGGGCCCAAGTACCGTTGCAAGATTAATGAATATAAGAAAACGCCAGTGCCCAAAGCCAGTTTTGAAAGGTCAATCTCTAAGTATAAAGTCGTGCTGTAAACTTTGTGACGCCATGAGAAGAAAATTCAGTTTTTAAATAAAGTTATTTTTACTGACGGGTAGCTCTTTCATTTTTCGTAGCTTGTTGTCGCTTTGTCTGAGCTCTGAATTGGGAATAAACAGTGAGGAATAAACTTAGTAATATTTCACAACAGAATACAAAAGTTTGTCTGACCCCCAAAAAAATTATCGTTCGAAGTGTACCTATCAAATATCGCGGTTGTTCCTCACACGTTCTGTTAAGGTTTGATTCTTGTGTTAACACGTAATGACATAGGCAAGCCAATAAAAAGGATATTTGGCAAACACCTTGTTAATCACGAGAATAAACAAATAAAATGCAAGAACAAAGAAAGCAAAAGAAAGCGGTGCGTTAAAGAATTTCAAGAACGCCCATACCTCGGAAAACCTCATATCCCGCAACAAAAAGCTTTTTCATGAAACTATCAAATAGACCGGTTATCTCGCGTCTGGTTTATCTTACAACAAAAGATCCTCTATCATGGTTTTAGAAGGTTTGTTTATCATACACTTGGAATTTATCAAATGTAAGCCCCCAGAACTACTACTATGGTACTCGACTCCCCGCTGAGAACAATATGAAAAATTCTAATTCCTTGGCCGAAAAACGTCAACATGCCTCGCATTTGTGCAGATGCTCTTCTCTTCGTTGATAATGAGAGAACAGCAAGGGGGAGGCTTTGTTGATTTTTGGCGAAGAGTGGCTTTGAAAGGTCGAAAACACAAGATCTTTATCACGCACTGTTTGGTGTAAAGTGCGCATTAGTGAATATTCAAAAGCTAACTATAATAAAGCCGCTTTACCGAGTAAATTCCAATTGTGAAAAGTACACCAGAAGCGTTTCAAAGGAAGTGATCGAATATCCGGTGGCCTTAACATCGAGACGATGTTTGACTCTTAATTAGAAATATCATGATATTGTGTCCAATCACAGCTCGATTTACTTTTCAATTATTATCTTCTATCACCAGTAGCCAATCACAGTGCGCGTTCTAAACTATGCTAATTTCGTTGACACTTCATTTCATTCTAACATTTGCAGACTGTGACCGATCAGAGCTGAATGGTTTTGTGTTTCACTCGAAAGAAAAGGAGAGTTGAATTCTTGCAGCCGCTCCGAAAGCAGCGAGATGATTACAGAAGCTTGGGGTAGATGTTCTTCGGGATTACTGCTTCCCGCGGTGATCTTGAGCGTTTGTTTGTTGCCCGGCTTGTGTCAAAAGAAGTGCGAACCAGTTTCAATCCCTCTCTGCACAGGTCTACAGTACAACGAAACAATATTCCCAAACATGCTAAGGCACAGAACCCAGGAGGAAGCTGCCCTTGAAGTTCATCAGTTTTTCCCACTTGTGAAAGTGGGATGTTCCAAGTACTTAGCGTTTTTCTTGTGTTCGGTATACGCTCCGATTTGTACGATTATGGAAACGCCAGTACCCCCTTGTCGTGGGCTTTGTGAGAGCGCCCGCGACGGCTGTGAAGGTCTTATGGAACGCTTCGGCTTCACGTGGCCAGAGTCCCTTAGCTGCGAAAAGTATCCCAAAATGACAGAGACATCTATGTGCGTTGGCGAGAATACAACGGGCCGAGGTGATGGCGGAGGGCTTCTGCCTACTAAAGAGACAACACCGCCGGAAAATGAGTCGGTGACGACTGAACCATACACATTCGACGTTAGTGCGGTGAAGTTTCAATGTCCCGGCAATCAAAAAATCGAGACTGATCATTACAAGTTCTTTGGAGCGAAAAAATGTGGAGCTATGTGCGAAAACATTTATTTCGACGAGAGGGAACGAAAAATTGCCCGCCTTTGGACTGGATTATGGGCGATCTTTTGCTGCATTTCAACACTGTTTACAGTTTTAACATTTCTTATCGACATGAGGAGATTTCGATACCCGGAGAGACCTATCATTTTTCTGTCAGGGTGTTACTTCATGGTTTCTGTTGCTTTTGTCATCGGCTTTGCCGCTGGCGACAGTCTCTCGTGTACAAAATCATCAACAGGCTCTAAAGTCATTGTCCAAGGAACTAAACACGAAGGATGTACTGTGGTTTTTATGCTGCTTTATTTCTTTAGCATGGCTTCGTCAATTTGGTGGGTAATTTTAACACTCACTTGGTTCCTAGCAGCAGGACTAAAGTGGGGCCATGAAGCGATCGAGGCAAACGCACAATTCTTTCATCTCGCAGCCTGGGCGATTCCTGCGGTTAAAACAATCGCGATCTTATTGATGACAAAAGTTGATGGAGACGAACTGAGCGGTGTTTGCTTTGTTGGGCTTTCAGATCTGAACGCGCTTCGGGGTTATGTTCTCGCTCCTCTGTTTGTATACTTTTTCGTCGGCGCTACGTTCCTCATAGCGGGATTTGTGTCATTATTTCGAGTACGATCGGTTTTAAAAGATGATTACTCTAAGAGGGAAAAAATCGAGAAGTTAATGATTCGCATCGGCGTGTTTTCCATACTGTACACCGTACCAGCCGTTTCCGTGCTAGGATGTTTATTTTACGAGCAATCAAATCGTGAAGAATGGCAAGAGTCTTGGAGAGTGGGTTGGGTTTATCAGCAAAGGTGCATTGAAAGTCACAGGCAAAACTGTCCTGATTACCCAATAGCTCAAGTCAAACCCGATTTCACTGTATTTATGGTCAAATACTTGATGTTCTTAATCGTGGGGATTACATCTGGATTTTGGATTTGGTCGAGCAAAACCATATATGCATGGCAGAAGTTTTATTTCAGAGTGAAACAAAGATTTTACGGCCCCAGAGGTAACATTCGAGTATGACTGTACTGAAATAGCCCTCGATTCATGGAAAAATCGCTCGATATTATGCCCTGCATAAGTTATACACGGAGGGCGAGCGCATTTGATGTAAGAAACAGCATCACTAAATATATCACACGACAAAGACCCGAATGAAATATTTTTCATCTCGGCATGGTGCATGAAATAGACTTGATTTTATCAAGCTTCATCAAACGGCTTTAATATGAAGAGACAAATTATTCAAGAATCGCGTGATCGAAAAAATTAGTGTTCGAAAACAACTTGGCCATTCACCCAGTCGTCATTTTCAAGACAGCATTAGACTGGTTTTCTTGCATGGCTGAATATGTGGGCCTTGTTACTGACTTTCCTTTAGGAAATATTTCTCATATTTTGTTTGACAATGAAATCTACGTATGTTTTGTACGCTATTTGCCTATTTTTTACTAGAAACTGTATAAAGTGTAAAAAAAAATATGCTTGATAATATAACTTAAGCGCTTCCACTTATGACAAAGTTTATTTTGGACAGAAATTCATCGTTATTGAATGAGCAATATATTGCCTGCGTTAAGTTCAGAGGCCGTAAGTAGATTAATCATTTATGTCATCATTTTTGTGACCACGCACGCAAGTTTAGAGACTTAAAATACGTAAATCATTTATTTTTGTTTATTTTGTTGACATCTGCTTGAAATTATGCTGTTGAGAAAAATATTATTAATGTTGCCTTAATGTGTTTTAGCTTGTAAGTGATCATAAGTGCATTCAAACTGGATTGCAATATGTTATTTTGCATTTTGTTATAAGTTCTTAACTTAGATTACATTTACACCTGCTAACTTAATTTGCTTGATGCTAAATATGATTATTGTTCTTGAATGAGATTTTTGCATAACTCTGTGTTTTATTTGTTTGTTTAGAAGATTTTATAGTTGGGTTTGTTTGGAATTTTCTTTTATGCTTTATCTGAGTTTTGTATTCCACATAATATGTTGCGTACATACTGGCAAAAACTTCTGGACGTTTTATTTTGAGCATGTGAAAGTGATAGTTACAACTTCATCCCCAAGGTTTTTCACAAGCAACACAAAATCATCAAGTTTATCTGTGTTTCAAGGATTTTTTCTTCAACTTTTGTTTCAATCCTATTAATGCAAAATAGAAATTTTTAGCTATATCTTTCCTGAATGAAAGAAAATCCTTCTCAGTGGTAAAAAGAACAGGAGCAAAGTCTAATCAGTAAGCTTTCTCCACGAAAGTTAACTATTAAAGTTGTTTTTATGGTACTGTTTAGCCAAAAATTAAAATTACCTGAAATTTTTGCAAATAATGTACGTTCACCTTCACTGATTTTGTGTTCAGTTATTGACAACAGACACAATGTTTTGACTACAGATATACTATTGTCTTTGTCTGGGTAGGAAGGGTGTAAACATCTCCTCCTCTTTCAGATTTCAAATTCCAATTTTTTTTATCAGGTTTTCTTTGTGCAACTGCAAAAGTTGTGTCTTTATTTCTTTCATATAAAACTCATTCATAGGAGAGATATGTGTCAACACTAAACAGCTGTGTAGCAGACTAAGATATTTTCAGCATGCTGATTAAAAACATTACAAGCTCATACAATTAAAGGGGCGGTGTCCTTATTATGTCATTTTCTGCCTGAATTGCTATTAGATCACAGACAGGATCACCTCTAATGAATGTTTTTTCAATTAAGCCTATGATCTGTCAACATCATTTTTTCCCCTGTGTGACTAACCCCTAAGAACGTCTGCATGGGAGGCCACATCTTACACTGCCTCTCCTGTTGGGCAACAAATACAATTTTGGTCACACTAGATTCCAAAGCTTGAGAATTTTTTCTCCCTGGATTGTTTTTGTTAGAGCACAGCCTTGCATGTATCAAGTTAGTACAAAATTACTCAAACATATAAAGGACTTGAAAGTGTCAGTTTGCCTTTCTCAAGATGATACGTACCTATATTGACACCATTACATGCCTGACAGTATGTACTAACTTGTAGGAATGGCTTCCCTGGACTAGAAATGCTAATTAACTAAAATTTTTGCTCTTATTTTCATTTAATTTTTCTAGCGAATGACACTGCCCCTTTGAGGGAATGGGAAAATCAAGTTTATTGAAAGCAGGTTTAAATATATAGCTGCTTAGTATTCAGTCAATGTTAGAGTGGAAAGTGACAACTCCTTAATTCATACAGGGGTATCAGTATGTTATTGTAGTTCTATTTAATGTTTGATTAAACGAACCAACCTTTTTCTGCTGTTACCATTTAAAGCGGCAGTGTTATGAAGAAATCTTCCAAGATTTTACAGCATCTGTTAGAATAATATTCTAATATTATTGTCCACTTGGTAGTCTTCAAGAATTTTCCCCTCAATTATAGGCAAAGTACATGAGAAATGATATCAACATTTTGTTCTTGTGGCAATTGTTTACTTGAGTTACTCGTTTTAGCATATTGGGACCAGGGCCCGATTCCTGAAAGGCCAATTAGCATTAATCCAGGATTAACATTTTGTTCCGTTTTTGTATTTTATATTCCTATGTATTGCTTAAGGCAACATTTTCTGTTTTCTGGTAGTATTATATTAAAAGGCTCAACAGTATTTTGTAACCTCTAGTTGCATGTTCTTAGACGAGAAAACCATGCTTGAATTTGGCTTTCCTGGATTAAACTTAACCAACTTTCAAGGAAAGGGGCCCACGTTTCTTAGAGAGGGGACAAAAGGGTGAATAATGGGCCTTCGCAGAGTAGCACAAAGAAAGAGGCGAACAAGTGTTTTAGGCGAGGGAGGTGAGGCCTTTTAATTGGAGGCTGAACGCTTCCATCTAAAGCCAGTGGGCTTATACTATCAAGCCTATAACCAATTTAATTTTACAGTATTCTAACTCGAGGAGAGTTCTATCTCGTACGCTGAGATTGGCAGTGGGTTGAACCAGGGCTCTATCTAGGATTTATCGTTTAGGGGAGAAGTCCTGAGTGGGGGTCCGGAGGCATGCCCCCCCCCCCCCCCCCCCCCACAAATTTTTAAAAAAAAAATATGTGGAGAAAAAAATTATGGTTTTGATTAAAAAACTTTTTAAAGAATTATTAGAAAGAGAGAAAGAACAAAGGCACGCCAACCAAAAAACACAAACAACTTTGCCCCTTCTCTCTGTCAAAAAAAAAAAAAAATAAGGGTTAAAAATCTAAGCCTAAAACAAATTTATTTTTCAGGTTTTTCAAGCGGGGGGGGTTCTTTCTCGGGTGCGGGGGTTGGGGGGGGGGTGGAACAGGGGGCTATTTAGGGTTTTTTGTTTTGGGGGGAAAGCCTGGGGGGGGGGGCCGGGGGATGGCCCCCCCCCCCCCCCAGAAAGTTTTTGAAAAGAATATGCGCTGAGATAAAATCTGGTGCATTTTGAGACACAATTTTGAGAAATGTTACAGTGTGTGCACTGACCTCGTCGCCTCTGGACGATTTATCCGATATAGTTACTTATATACTGTAATGATAACAACATTTTTGGGAGGGAAGCTGGGCATTTTGGGGAGGGAAGTTTCTACCCCCTCCTACCCTGGGTTGAATGAATAAGATACACCATGATTTTCTTCTTTTTATCGGCACTTCAACGTGTCTCAGCGAGGTCACATAAAATGCTCCTTCAGTTGCTCTCACCAAAAACCCTACCTCAATAGGGAAAAATAAAGGAAAGTCCTCCGATTCAGTCAACCGATTTATGACTAAAGATAACAAACTAAAGGGAAATGAACTTTGAAAGTACATTCACAGTCGAACCTTCATGTGCGACCACCTTTCGTAACTGGCAATCACTTTTCCAAACACCAAAAGTTTTCTCGCGGCTTCTGCGACACTTATAGGCCGGCACCTGATACAATAGTCTGCTACACAGCCGTTTTTAGTGTCGTCACGCAACGCTCCTCCCCATTGCGTTGCGTGATGACACTAAAAACGGCTGTGTAGCAGACTACTGATACAATGGTCCAATCTTTAAATCCGTTGAATATTTACCACGCTACTCGGGGTATAAAGAAGAACTTAAAGAAACAAAACGGATTTACAGCAAAAATGATATTATATCCTAGAAATTGCACCCAACTCATTATCTCCAAAAAGTAGATGTGTCCGGTCTTCTCCTTGTGAAAGATCTCTCGCAGTTTGACTCTCGTAAGCGACCTTCTCCGATAAGAGACTAAGTTTAACATGGGTGGTTGCCTACAGGAGGTTCTACCATACTTTTTTCTCTTTTTTATCGAGGTCTTTACCACACGCAGTGAGTGAAGTTTCGTCAGCAAAGAGGCGTGTGGAAAAGTAGTATCACTAGTAAAATTAATAAAATAGATCAGACAAAGAACTGGGCCAAGAACAAATCACGCTCACGCCACTCCCAAATTGATAGCTTGAATCTCTGAAAACACCGTTAAAGTGTTAAACTATTTGCCTTCGATGCTGAAGAAACTACAAAGTTTCAAGGCCTTGGATGCCGTAGTTGAACAATTTAGATAAGAGAATGCAAAGGCTTTACTAAGGTCTAATTTAAAGAAGACCAATACTGCAAATTCACAATTATCAAGGCTTTTGGTAATTTGTTCAGTTAACTGAACTAAACAGTCAGGGGTGCTTAAAAAAATAATTAAAAAAATTAAATTGATTAGGCGCAAATACATCATGGAAAGAATATGAAACATCAATTCGACAAGTACATATTCTTCAAATATTTTACTCGATGAAGGGGGTACCGAGATTGAACGACGATTAGTGCAAAGCAAGTGAATCAATGATAGGTTTATGATATCCGTTATTTCTGTCGAGGTTTTCTGCTTAATAATAGAAACACCTGAACTTCACTAAATAATTGACTGAAACAAAACTTCTTCTTATACTCAGGGTTAAATATGATTTGAAGAGGCGGTTGAATTTAAGCAGGAAAGTTGCCACGTCAGATGCTACATCACAGAAATGATTGTTCAAGGCATTGGCGACGGAGGAGTGTTGATGATATTGCTTTTTAATTACAGATATTCCCTCAATTCGAGAGTTGGGTCGTTTCTTGTTTATAGTGTAGTTATTGCTATCCCACATTTTTTCCAACATGTATTGATGAAGTTTGTTCAAACTATATTAATAAAGTTCATGATAGTGCTTATTAATGGCAAATATTTTGCTACATGGCCATGATCCTCACCAAAAATTTTTTTCCTAATCAACGGTGCTTTTTCGTAAACTTATTTGGCTTGTGTATACTCCCCTTCTCTCGTACACTGATGCCAAGGCGTTAAACTTATTGCTCCCTCGTCATGATTTTCACCGAAATTCTTTTTCGTAATCATCAGTTCTTTTTCGAAAAGATCTTTGGCTTGATTGTATTCTCCCAGGCTGTTGTACACTAAGGCCAAGTTGTTATAACTTGTTGCTACATAGGCATGATTTTCACCAAAACTCTTTGAAACTACCTTTATCGAATAATGAAGGTTAATGAATCATCAAGCATTGCTATTTTAATACATTTTAATTATTATTATCACTGAGTGGAGTGTTTTGAATTGTTATATAAATATGTTCTACTAGAATGTACTGGGTTTACGAAAGCTATTTGTTTTTCTTTTTAAAATAAGGTTTGGCATAAAGATGTTCTTTTGGACGTCGGTTTCTCTTTGCCAAGTGCCGCTATTCAATTAAGGAATGATGCTTTTTGTTTTAACCCACACAGAGGTTCTTAATCTAATTAGTTCTGGTAAATTTAACGACACTTGTTTGTTATCTTACATTAATTGGCTTAATTGGTTTTTCCTAAAATCTTCAGAAGCTTGACCTTGCCAAGCTGTCTTTTCTTGGACATTCCTATTTTAACTATCTTTCGCGTTTTTAGTGGTTTAATCGAAACGTTAGTGTGCTTCCAAAGAAAACCTTGTCCAACAGACTATCTTAGTTAACTCGTTGTGATAAACAAGCTTTTGATACTGCCTAATTCAAGTTACTAGTTAAAATTTATAATGAGTGATATCTTTGTTTAAAGGCTTTCGTAGCCTGTTCCAGGCCCCGAGATAGTCGGGTCCGCTGACTTGAGAAAGCACAAACATCAAAATAAAACGGGAGGAAACTGGGGAACAGGCTAAGGCTTTCGCAATGAAAATATCTTGCTAATTGATTTTTGACTAGAGTTTTGTATGGAAAAAGCCGGGAATAATTACTATTGTACGATATTCCAACAAGAAGCTTTTAAACGACAACTTTAGCACTGTACGCGAATTGACAAGTTGTACATTTTAGAGTAAGTAATTGTACATATGTGATTTTCATTCACGTAAATATTCCTTGTAATTTTTGTCTCTCTCTGACTGTTTTGTTTTGACTGGACATTCGCTGGACAAAAGTGAATTTTGGAGTTTTAACTGATTTTGCTATTACGACACAACCTCGAAGGAAAATATGTTAATAATTCTTATAGCCAATCGAATTTTTTCTGATGTAAGATTATTTTAAGTTTGAGTAAGATTGGCAGCGTCCAGATTCAGTTAGGATAAAAGGAGCTGTAACTAGGTCTTGTCAGAGAGATACTGCCAGCCTTGATTGTGAAAAGATGAGCAACAAGTAATCTACATTAAAACAGTTTAAAGAGAGAAAGCGTTTGAGTTCATTGTAGAGGATTACTGTTCCCTCAAGTTTCCTACTACACAAGTTGTTATAACCTGTTGCTACATAGGCATGATCTTCACCAAAAATCTTTTAATTTTGCCAATCATAAGTGTTTTTCCTGAAGTTCTTTGGCTTGATTGTATTCTCCCAGGCTGTTGTAAACTGAGGCCAAGTTGTTATAACTTCTTACTACCATGGGCATGATTTTTACCGAAAATCCTTTCACTAATTATCAGTGCTTTTTCGTGAAGTTCTTTGGCTTGATTGTATTCTCCCAGGCTGTTGTAAACTGAGGCCAAGTTGTAATAACTTGTTGCTACATAGACATGATTTTCACCGAAAATCCTTTTACTAATTATCAGTGCTTTTTCGTGAAGTTCTTTGGCTTGATTATATTCTCCCAGGCTGTCGTAAACTGAGGCCAAGTTGTTATAACTTGTTGCTACATCGGCATGATCTTCACCGAAAATCTCTTTGCGAATCACAAGTGCTTTTTCGTGAAGTTCTTTGGCTTGATTGTATTCTCCCAGGCTGTCATACACGGAGGCCAAGTTGTTATAATTTGTTGCTACATCGGCATGATTTTCACCGAAAATCTTTTTTCTAATCATCAGTGCTTTTTCGTGAAGTTCTTTGGCTTGATTGTATTCTCTCAGTCTGTGGTACATTGATGCCAAGTTGTTATAACTTGTTGCTACATCGGCATGATCTTCACCAAAAATCTTTTTGCGAATCACAAGTGCTTTTTCGTGAAGTTCTTTGGCTTGATTGTATTCTCCCAGGCTGTCGTACACTGATGCCAAGTTGTTATAACTTGTTGCTACATCGGCATGATTTTCACCGAAAATCTGTTTCCTAATTATCAGTGCTTTTTCGAGAAGTTCTTTGGCTTGATTGTATTCTCCCACGCTGTTGTACACTGAGGCCAAGTTGTTATAACTTGTTGCTACATCGGCATGATTTTCACCGAAAATCTTTTTCCTAATCATCAGTGCTTTTTCGTGAAGTTCTTTGGCTTGATTGTATTCTCCCAGGTTGTTGTACACTAAGGCCAAGTTGCCATAACTTGTTGCTACATCGGCATGATTTTCACCGAAAATCTTTTTCCTAATCATCAGTGCTTTTTCGTGAAGTTCCTTGGCTTGATTGTATTCTCCCAGGCTGTTGTACACTGAGGCCAAGTTGTCATAACTTCTCGCTACATCGGCGTGATTTTCACCAAAAATCCTTTTACTAATTATCAGTGCTTTTTCGTACAGTTCTTTGGCTTGATTATATTCTCCCAGGCGGGTGTACACTAAGGCCAAGTTGTTATAACTTGTTGCTACATCGGCACGATTTTCACCGAAAATCTTTTTACTAATCATCAGGGCTTTTTCGAGAAGTTCTTTAGCTTGATTGTATTCTCCCAGGCTGTTGTACACTGAGGCCAAGTTGTTATAACTTCTCGATACATCGGCGTGATTTTCACCGAAAATCCTTTTACTAATCATCAGTGCTTTTTCGTAAAGTTCTTTGGCTTGATTGTATTCTCCCAGGCTGTTGTACACTGAGGCCAAGTTGTTATAACTTCTCGATACATCGGCGTGATTTTCACCGAAAATCCTTTTACTAATCATCAGTGCTTTTTCGTAAAGTTCTTTGGCTTGATTATATTCTCCCAGGCTGTTGTACACTGAGGCCAAGGCGTTATAACTTGTTGCTACATCGGCATGATTTTCACCGAAAATCTTTTTCGTAATCATCAGTGCTTTTTCTTGAAGTTCTTTTGCTTGATTGTATTCTCCCAGGCGGGTGTACACTGAGGCCATGTTGTTATAACTTTCTGCTACATCAGCATGATTTTCACCGAAAATCTTTTTCCTAATCATCAGTGCTTTTTCGTGAAGTTCTTTGGCTTGATTGTATTCTCCCAGGCTTTTGTACACTGAGGCCAAGTTGTTATAACTTGTTGCTACATCGCCATCATTTTCACCGAAAATCCTTTTACCAATTATCTGTGCTTTTTCGTAAAGTTCTTTGGCTTGATTGTATTCTCCCAGGCTGTTGTACACTGAGGCCAAGTTGTTATAACTTCTTGCTACATTGCCATTATCTTCACCGAAAATGTTTTTTAGAATCAACAGTGCTTTTTGGTGAAGTTCTCTGGCTTGATTGTATTCTCCAATTTCTCTGTATACTTCACCACTCATGTCGAAAATCTTCGCTTTACGAGTTAACGCACCTGAAATAGTTTCGTCTATATTCTCCAATAGGTTGCATGCTAAATCGACCAAATCTTTCGCAAAGAAGAAATAGGAATTTTTTCGAAAGTCATAGGCGAGAGTACATAGCCAATTAATAAATATATCCAAATCTAAAAAGGGCGTAAACCTTTCTTTAAAAGATCTTTGATCCGAACTGAACTCTGACGTCATTAACTTAAGTAAAGTTTCACAGTGGGGCATCATTTTTTTAAAAAACGCATTATTCTTGTTATTTTCTTCAAGTTGGGACTTGAAAATCTTAAGTGCTTTTGCAATGTTGTGGTCGGTCTCCCATGATTTTAGATTAAACATTTCATTTTGTTTCAATGCTTCATGAACACTTTTATGCAGGCGCAAATACGTTTTTTGTTTATTGCCTTCCTCGAAATAAACAAGAAGTAAAGAACATCTTACAATCTTTGATTTCAGTAACTCCTCTGGTTGGTCCTTCACTTGGACTTTGACGAACTGCAAAACAGCTTCGAGTGGGAGATCGTCGTTAGCGCAGAGCGAAAGAAAGGAGAATGTCTCACGAAGAACCTCGTCCGCTTCAACAGCTCTCTGGATGGCCATTTCAACAGCGGTCGTTGTTGTTTTAGCATAGGCCGAACTTTCAGTCGCAAGGACGGTTTCAATCTCTTTTCGTTGGTCGTATGTTGATATGTCGTCGAGGTACGCTTTCCAGTTATAATGCAAAGACCCACTGTTCACAACAGTTTGCACGTAATAAGCAGCAGCAGCTAAGGCCAGTGGTTGAAAATCAAGACGTTCAGCGACGTTTTCAGCTAGTTCTCGATCTGAAATTTGCGATACTGTTTCCAGCAATTCCACTGCCTCATCACGCATCATTCCTTTACTTAACGATTCATGATACGTGTGAGGAGCGTTTTGGGGAATTGTACCGCTATCTTGAGTAGTAATCAGCACCTGACCATTTCCCCATTCCTCGCTACCAGTTTGAGGTAGTAGGGTGCGGACTAAGCGTAAGTCAATTACATTGTCCACAATAATTAGCCACTTGGTAAACTTACTAGTCTTCGGCATAATCAGCAGCTGGAGCTGTTGAATTGCTTTAAGAGGCTTCTCATTTTTTAAAGATTCTAAGCTTGTCAAGGCGTATTCTGTTAGCCCTAAGTGTCCTCCAAGGGCCATGTAAGATTCAGCAAGTGTCTCAACACTTTCTGCATTCAGTGTAGCAACAAAGTTTAGATCTTCAATATCGTTGGGTCGTTTACGAAAGAATTGTTTTCCGATTTCCCTGGCAAGTTGACTCTTGCCACATCCTGGATTTCCTGACAAATACACCGTGCTAACAGTTCCATTGGTACCACTGTAAAGTTCCTCCATTTTGTTTGTGATTCTTTCAATGTCATGCGAACGCCTGATGATATCGTGGGGTGGGCGCGATGTGAGAAAGCAAAATGGCTGAAGTTTCGCATTTATTTCCTGTGTGAGAGCCTTGTTTTCGTCTTTTGCAGAAATCAGAGCAACCTCTGTACTCTGAAGTGTGCTTTTTGTCTCCTTCAAGTCAGATTTTGTCTGATCTAACTCAGCTTGCAGATCACGAACTTGCTTCTTAATTTGTTCCACTTCATTTGTTGGAAAGCTATTCTGCTTCTTTATTTCTTGGATCTCAGTTATAGGAAGACCAAGGGATGTAAAAGCGTTCAACACTCGATCTACTGAAGTTTGGAAGTCGGCATCTGTCAGGTTAGCCTCCGTGATATGGGCGATCCCGTTTCGCACTTGACGAATATCATCGACATCTTTACGGACAGCTGGACTTAAGGTTTTACCGATACTGTCTGAGTACAAGATGGCAAAAAACAAACAGGTGCAGTCCCACTCTGCCGTGTCACCATTCTGGATTGTTACCAGGCACCGAGCGTTTTTCTTCCGACTTGCTTTAGTTTCCCTGCTGTAGAAATCACGGCCATTTTGTGCTGAGTTTTTCCATTCTCCGCGTAGAATTGTCTTGTAAAGGAAATCCCATTCCTGTTTAAAAATCTGCCGCAGTCCTACTGGAACCAGATTAAATACGACGTAGCAGAGTCTAAAGTAATTCAGCTGCTCCTGCGAGTATTCCATCACCACCTACAATACTGTAAGAGATATTTCCATTTAGCATGGTTTAACTAAATCATTAGGAGCCATGATCAAACAATAAATTTCTTTTTCAGACAAGAAAAATAAGTTGTTTACTGCTTGATTATATTGAAATCCTCGTGAATCGCCGCCGATGAACAAAAGAAACCAACAAGAGTTGTAAGATTACTTAAAGATGATATACACTATTTTATTAATTTCCTTTATTATTAAAAAAGGTGAAACAAAAAACTATGTATATTTTTTATGCTAATCGCCTAGTGCTTTGTTTTTATTAGCAACTTGAGGGAAGTAGATTTTGTGCAAGTAAACAGTACCAGAGTACTAAAAGAATAAAAAGGGCAAAGGGGGTAAAAATAAATTTCGGTCTTTAATTTTGATGAAAGGAAATAGGGCAGTTTTGTCGATTCCAGAGCTCTCTTCTCTGCGCGGCCAAAAATTCCCGATGTCTCTGGTGTCGAGAATGACAGGGAGGGAGTGGGGTCATGTAGCAGCTGACACTTAACCTTGTCACGAAACTGCGCATGTTTGTCGTCAGAGAGGACTCAAATTGAGAAGAAATTTCTAGAAACAAACTCTGTAGCGATTCCATCGACGTGAATCTTGGTCATACGTGACTAGATGGAAGATATATAAGATGTGAAAGATAACAATGAACATGCAAAACACCCTTGAGCACGCTGCAAATGAATATTCCTGCAGCCTCGTCTTGTGATGCATGGCGAACATCTGTAGAAGGCCTAAATGTAACAAACGACCCTAAATGTAATAAAGTCCTAAATGTAATAACATTTTGTCCTAAATGTAATAAACTCTTAAGTTACAAATTACAGTAATTACTCAAATAAGCGCTGCATTTTGGGCTCATATAAAAGCCATTTCTTCCAAACTTGCCAAATCCACTAGGATTATTATCAAATCACGACAGTTTTTCCTTTCTAATACTCTTTGCACATTATAAAACTCTTTAATACTCCCATGTCTTCAATACTGTTCTATTATTTGGGCATCCACATACTATTCTCATTTACAACCCCTTTTCCGTCTCCAGAAGAAAGCTTTAAGAATCATTACTCATTCTCCACCACGTGCACATACGTACTCAATCTTTAACAAAATTCAAAATACTCAACATATTTACTATTTATACGTACCAAGTTTCTTGCTTTGTTTTCCTTCACATGCAGAAGCTCTTGCCTTCTCCTCTTTCATCTCTTTTCGTTCTTAACTCTGATTGTCATCAATATCTCACCAGGCAAAAAGACAACTTACATCTTCATACTCACAAACATTCTTTTTCTCTTCGGGTACAGGGTCCTCAAATTTGGAATGACATGCCTCTCTGACTTCGTAGTTCACTTACTCTTTTTAGCTATAAACATAAACTGAGAGATTATTTTCAATCATTATAAGTTTAAACTAAATTGAACTCAAATTTTTCTACCTTCAAACCCTTTTCTTTATTACTTTTTGCACAGTATCATTAATTGTTATGTTTATTTTGCTTTATATGCAGTAATAATTCTTTATATCTTGTAATAGTTTGCCTCTGTTAATCTTGTACTTATTAATTTTTATTCTCATTGTAACTTAGCAGCACATTGTAACTCTCTGACCTACGCCATATAAGCCTCTGGCTTTAGCATCTTATTATCGTAAACTTGTGCTTTGTGTACTTATTTATCAATAAATAAATAAAAAAGAATTTAACAAGCGCTGCGGCGCTTATTCGCGTAAATACGATACTAAGAGGTATTACTATGGTTTTAAGCGCCGCCCTCAAATAAGCGCCGCATTTTTGGAGAAAAAAATTAGTAAGCTTTGATACATTTCCTTCTGCACTGTGTAACTTGACGTTTACAAATAAATTGCTTGTAAAGGGACAAAATCAAAAAAAAAAACTTGTAAGCCTTAAAAAGTTTTTCATACTTCATTTTTGTTAAAGAAATTTACTGCAAAAACCGTGAAAGAAGATCCTGTTGCTTTTCAACGTTGATCCTGTTGCCTGTCGACGTTGGATCTCTAGAGATCTAATCAGCTAAAATATTAAGAACAAAAAACGAGAAGTCTAAGGGCCTGTTTCCATGGAGGTGGGGGGCCCCAGGTAGGTGAGGTAACCCGTTTTGGTGGGGTAACCCGCCTGTCCACATAATCTCTCATTTTAATTTGATCCCGTTTACATGATAGGTGGGGTGACCCGCCGCATACCTATCTGGGGTCCCCCACCTTCATGTAAACAGACCCTAAAGACTACTGCACAGCTTATAACAACGTTTATAAATAACTAAGGTAGTACGAGCGCGCTCTGATTGGCCGAGAGATGTGTTTGCATGAGAGTATGTAAACATGTGTGGAGTCAAGATGTTTTGCTCTTCGCGCGCTGACCACACAAGCACGAATTTTAAAAAGTTTTTGAGTTGAAAACTCGACTGGGGACACAGTTACTTTATTTACCCATTCCCTCGTCGGATGAGACCTGGAAAATCTTTACAAATATGCTGTGCCAATTTTTTTTCGCTTAAGATGACATTTTAAGCGAGAAAATCCCTTTTTTGGAAACCATCTTTATTGCAAAACAAGAACTGATTACACGTATATTAAGCTTCGTGTACAAGACTACGCGACTGGTAAGAATTTCTCTTTTAATCAGTAACCTAAACAAAGAGTTTTTCTTTTTTCTCGGGAAAGTTATTTTATAACAGCAATAGAAAACTTTTTCCCTGTGTTTGCATAGCCTGATATAAACACTCGAGGGGTTGGGAGAATTCTTGACAGTTATGCAAACCCGAGACAACGTCGAGGGTTTGCACAACTGTCTCGAATTCTCCCAACCCCTCGAGTGTTTATATTAGGCTATGCAAACACAGGAAAAAAGCTTTCTATTGCTTAAATATTGCTTTTTTAGAAAGATACTGTTACTTTGCCGTTTACAAGCAAATTATTTGTAAACGTTAAGTTTCACAGTACATAAGGAAATGTACCGAATTTACGCGAATTAGCGCCGCGGCGCTTATTATTATTAGGACTTTATTACATTTAGGGTCGTTTATTACATTTAGGCCTTCTACAACATCGCGCTCGCTTAGGGACTGAAAACGTTATACGGTTGCATTTTTCATTTTCTACCCCAATACAAGAGCCATCTTGCCCAATGCACACGCTTCTGACTTGGCGCGTATGCGCAGAGGAGCTCTTCTACTATATTGCCTGGTCCCTGAACGGCGTCTTCCCAGGCCTTCTCGGTCAATGAATTCAAAAACTCCCTCAGACCACGTGACCCGAAACGCATCAGCCGCGCGCAATAATGAGGCCTGGCACTAGGAAACTACAAATAACCTTTGTTGGCTACAGTTGCTACACCTACTACATATACTACACCTACTACATATACAGCTACTACAGATACTACACCTACTACATATACTACACCTACTACATATACAGCTACTACAGATACTACACCTACTACATATACTACACCTACTACATACACAGCTACTACAGATACTACACCTACTACAAATACACATACTACACCTACTACATATACAGCTACTACAGATACTACACCTACTACATATACAGCTACTACAGATACTACACCTACTACATATACTACACCTACTACATATACAGCTACTACAGATACTACACCTACTACATATACTACACCTACTACATATACAGCTACTACAGTTGCTACACCTACTACATATACTACACCTACTACATATACATCTACTACAGATACTACACCTACTACAGATACTACACCTACTACATATTCAGCTACTACAGATACTACACCTACTACAGATACTAAAGATACCACACTTACTACACCTACTACATATACAGCTACTACAGATACTACAGCTACTACAAATACTAAAGATACCACACTTACTACACCTACTACAGATACTACACTTACTACAGACACTACAGACACAATCTACTACGGTTACTTTTCGGTCAGCACTCGTTAACATCCGTCGAAAGGCTCTTTCATCTTCGGTCGGATTTCGTAAACATATGACGTCACGCTCGTCTCGTGGTATATATTTTATACCTGTGATTCTGCTTCGATCGTATACTCTGATTTGTCTGATGATCTGATGTTTGTTTCGAGGTCTTGTCTTGCTTTTTCGATCATCCCTCGATTGATTCAAACAAGAAGATGCCACTGTCTCCGTTTAAAGGATGTTTTGAAGTTTCAAGCCTCTTCTATCTCCACGGAGTAAAGGACCTTTCAGTGGATGTTACTGAATAACATCCTTTGAATGACCCCAGATCACTAGGCTAGGTGACAATTATACATTACCACTTTCCTTATTGAATACATGTACAGTGTAGACTCAGTGTGAAAATCGCCGTACTTATATTTCACATTTGAGGAGAAGGATCAATATTGTTATTTACTTAGTCATATTTATTTATTTATTTATTTAGGCTTTTTAATTTTATACTTTATAATATAATATAATTCAATTAAGGTTGCAAATGAAAGTGCACTTTGGTTGGTACCCATTGATACTATGAAGTCTTCATCTATATGATATCTACAAGTTGTTTCTTGGGAAAGGTTGCCCATCAGGTCATGAATGCTGGAATAAATTTTTAATTCAAGTTAAGTACCGCTCCAGAGGCAGATCCAGGATTTTTTCAAAGAGGGGGTTGTAATGAGAGTGCAAGGCTGTAGATTTTCTTCATTTTGACTTCAGAGGTATAAATTTGTCAAATTTGAGACACTAAGGAATAAGAGTACAGTGCAACAATGGTGTAGCCAGAAGGGTGTCCAGCCGTCCTATGAACACCCATTACAAGGAAAATTCAATACAAGGAAAATTCACTTGTAATTGTATGGCAAAATGTGCCTTCTAGCCGGCAATTTTCAATGTCTGGCTAAAAGCCTACAGTGCATGTGCAACAACGATAGTTTAAATCAAACAGACTAGCTTGAAAGAGCCTTTACAAAGGCT